ACTGGGGCCCACAACATGTCAAACAGCAGATACAATAGCTTTTGTCGAGGCAAGATTTGTGCCCCCGGCATCACTGACGCCAAATGACACCAAATTCGGGGCAAAATTGTTGGCGGCGGTTTTAAAGCCCAAAGTGGCTCGCCGGAAGCCCAACACTAACGCTAATGCGTGGTAAGAAGCCGATGCTGGAGTACTCGCTCTAATTTTAGATGTTTTCGTGTCTAAATTACCACGCCTTCCCGCCCCACCCCAAACCAACGCAAAACAAACAAGCAGTTAATCACCCAGTCACTTAATGCTCATTTGTCTTGTTTATTAGATTCAAATTGTCATAATTCAAAAAAGGTTGTGGTGAATCAAAGCCCCCGGGAAAGGTGTAAACAGAGGCAGTGCAAAGTTAATCAGAAGAGAGGAAATTAACGCACATGTAATTAAAGGCCTTGTAAATCCCCTTGTTTGCAGGAATTTTAGCGAGGCCAGACATGGGGAATTAATTGAACGGGACAAAATTAATTAAATCGGGCTTTGCTTTAGGTGGGTCATTAGTTTACAAGTATTTGTGACATTCAGCATTAAGAAAGGGATGATGGGATGGAAAACCCCGACAGTCACTGTTAAAAAAACCGATGGAAATGCGGATCTGGCTAACTCAGTGCATTCACAGATCAATCACAAACAAAAAAGATTTCGAGAAGACTGCCCAACAACGTAACGTCCCAATTTTCCTTTTTATTGGCCGCAATTCGATTCATTTCCAAACCAACAAACAAGGAACGAACATGAGTGCTACGGTTGAAAGTGAAATGCCATCCACGTACCCTGATCTCCTTGAATTTGGCCCGAAGCTGCATGGGACTGAGGCGGAATTTGTCGAGTCCGTCGTTCCACGCGATCGGTTCGAGGACGTGGAGGTCACCACCAACCAGCCAATCACCGGAGGACATGATCTGTTCGATGGTAGGGTGGCCACGATCGCAAATACCGAAAATTCGGTTACAGCGCTCCTCCTAAAGACAGACACTGCATGTCAAGGACATAGTAAGGCGGGCTATAGGATGCACACTACAGACGTCGGTGATAGGTGACTGGGAAGCCAGAAATAAGAATGCATAACGAAAATGTTGCCACTTTCGCATGTGTGTAGACAAGTTGGCGTAAAAAACCGAAGCTAACACTGTCTGTGAATTAAGTTAATCGTTTAGATAACGAGCTTCCAGTGCATCCAAATGATGCTTGAAATTTAGGTCAACAGAAAAAAAAAAACAATGTTTGCTGAGCTAACCGCGGCACATTCCAGGACTTGAAATAGATGCGTCGTCGCCGTTGTGGGAGATTTGTGCGTTTACTGGAGAGTACACGGTTTGGGGATTAATTGTACGGGAAAACTAGAAATTTGACAGGTGGGCTAAAGCATTAAAAATGTGGGAAAACAACTGAGTAGGAGTGAAACAGTGGCGGTTTGTGGTGAGAAAATATTGCGGCTGAAACACCGATTTTACAACATTAATGTATTTGCGAAATGGCATCGTCTAGAGTCACACCCACCCGCTCCGTCGCCGCATTCTCCCACACACTGCCACCGTTTCACGACGTGTCCATCAGCCACACGGGACCGTCTGCTCACAGACCCCCTGTACACTTACCACTCCCACTACACCCTTCACTCATCTGACCGTTTGGATATGTGTACTTTTACTAGCTCACGCAAACTCTATGGACCAATAATTAAATTATTCGCAAGCACATGTTGCGATTCGTGTTTATTCACACCCCTTAATCCGGTCACTCCATCCTCCGACACAGGGTTCCCCTTTTCGCAGCGTGCAGCCAGACAGCCGGACGGATCCCCAACTCCCCCCTCATTCACACTAATATTTATCTTGGATTAACCCCACACCTAGGTCTCGGCGTTAGCGCATGTACGGCTCACATATCCGAGGTATAAAAACACACGCGCAGACACCACACAGGATACAACGACACCAACGAGGTTGAGCTCTGAAGTAAACGATTGTGTCCACGTCCACTCCGGTCTTTTTCTTCATCGCGGATATCAGGGAAACGTAATCGGGCCAGGGCTAATTCCGTGACCCCGGCGTGGTTCAAGACCACATGCTGGGGCCCACAACACACACACACACACAGGCACGTCAACAAACACAACCAGGTCGAGCCACCCAGTCACATTCCGTCGTTGGGTGCTCCGTGTTGTACGGTGCCGTACCACACTCTAACCGATAAACCGTCAATTCAGGAGTTTCCCTGAACCCTAAAACACTGCTGTAGGCGAACCAACAAGGGAAGTGCGCGTTGAGAAAGTCCGGATTTCGGCTGTAACCGGGACGCACACGCGGCGGACAGGCGCGCCCACCTACCTTTCTGTGGGCGTAGAACTCGATGTTCTCCATTAGCGCGACAGGACGACCGGTGTGGGTGAGGGTGAGGGAGGACCCAGTGAGTCTCGCCTTGTCCTCCGTTGTGACAGCCAGGACAATCGGGATTGACAGGTTTATGATTTTGCCTCGGCCTTAAGAAACACCAAAAAGCACCGATAAAAACAACAAAAAAAACGAAGTATTAATTTCGAATTTAAGAAAACCAAAGGCAATTGCGAATTCAACAGGTGCAGGATAAAGTAACAGTAAAACATTTTTTACGCATTTAACGATGCACGGTGCCATTATTAGAACCAATAGTTAAACTGTTCGGATTTCGGAGTAGCCAGGATAGTCATTAAGTCTCTTTCAATGATAATGAAGATCAAATTTGTTTATTTTCAGGGGCATTTTCGGGAAGACGCTTGGTAGGAAATCTTGCACATTGAGGCGATTTGTAAAGACGTGAGAACATAGGGGGCGGGGGCTTGGAACGCGTGGCTATGCTGCAGCGAAGCGAAAAAGCGCCACTTCACCACCGAATTGCAGATTTAAACAAAATTCACAAAGTAAACAAACAAACAAACAAACAAAACACAACCCTGGAAGACAGCATGAAACCACAGCTGCACAACAAAGCATTTTGAGGCGTCAAATCGGAACGCTAATCAAAGCATTACCGGCAGACTTATGCTGGAAATCGCGATGCAGTTGAAGCCCCTGCGAAAGAAGCAAATTTTGATTAAAGTGGATTGGTTAAAGTGCGTTTTGGTTGAGCGAAAACATAACAAAGTTGATTTCCCTTCCCAACGCATAATTCTGCAAGGAAGCCGGTTTGACCGTGTGCTGAATTCGTCAAGTACTTTCCTGCTGCTAATTTCGACTTTCTGAAATAAAGAGCGATAGCAACGTGATGAGGAGCTCCCACCAACGTTATGATCCTTTTTGAAAATTGATGTAAACCCCTTGTGGACTAGTTGGCGGGCAAATTTCGAGTAGCCGCGCTTCCAGATGAAACTTTGGGGTCGAGTACAACAAAAATGAATGCTTTCGACACAAGCAAATAGGCAACACTGCTAGCGAGGTGGGTTAAGTCCGCGGAGTTGATTGCTCAACGTGCTGTGATCAGTTAAAGTGACCTGTGATTGGGATTTTTCACTCTCAGTGGTGGTAAATGTTGTCCTGGTCAGCCCACTGAAATCGAAGACGATCGAGCCAATGGCATAGTTGAATAAGATCATCATTCAACTGTGCGAGGTATTATCGGGATGTTGGTCAATGTACCACAGTAATCAGAAATCACCGACCGATTTCTGACTTGCTGTGAAGTCCGCTGAAGCTGAACGAAATACAGTCGACACAATCAACTAGTGACGCCCAAAGGTGGCTTTTGTGCTGAGCCGATTCCAAGTAACCAACTGACCAAATCTCGTGTTTGCTGTCGAGGGCTGATTGAACAAACAAACGGAGTAGATTAATCGCAAAACACGTGTGAGCCTCACACACGCGGGGTAACTCGTGGAAACGCATCGCAGCGTGGTCGAGAATTGACGTCGCATATCGCCCGCATTGATGCCACCTGACCTTGGGCCATCCAATAGCCGTTTTTTATCGAAAAAGGATCCCCACGACGAAAACTTGGTTTAGTGTGTTTTAGTAATTTATACTAGATGCAGAAATTTCAGTAGACAAAATGGGTTCTACTTAGCACCACAAAAACATCAAATTGAATTCGTGTCAATGTAGTTGAATATAAGTTATAGACCCAAAAGTGCGTTTGCCGATTCACACGAATTTGAATTATAGCCCAATCATGCCCCAAGCTGACGCGGGCTGAAGCAATATGAAGCCAAGCAAGACGAGTTCTACACATTGCGTCAATCGCAAGAATTTAATTACACGTGCTCCCAGTAGCACGGATCGCACTACACTTTAGGACAGTAGATTTTACGAAGGCTCTAGCAAAAGATTTTAATTTCTTTTTGAAAAGAAAAGCAATAATTAAAAAGATAGCAACTGCTACAGCCTCCAAATGTAACCATGATGCGACGCCTCTTTCACAAGACCGTAGATCACGTGTCAAAACCAAACGACGACCACATGGCAGGCTACAGACGTCTCTTCTCTGGAAAGGCCGGCACAAGTCAAGATTTTGTAGGCACAATCACAGGCGTCTAGCAATGAGTGGAGCGGAGGCACTTTCTCACTATGGCAACCAACTTCATGTGCTGTTCTTTTGTGGTGAATTGAGGCAAATCACGTCCATTGCCTTTGTCCACCCACCCAATCCTGCCTCCACGCGAATGCAACACGCTGACATGACGGATCTGACAAACGATTGTCTTGGAATTTCTCAACAGAGTCCCGTCAACTGATGACCCTGACGTGTGGACGAAACTTCTGCTTCTACCGGATGCAAACTTGGCTTGACTTTGCAAGCCTCGCGAGCATCCGAAACATCATGGAAATGAAGTACTGGATGGGGTTTCATCCAAACCCACAGCACAATTCTCCCGCATTCAACAAACATGCATCAGACAAAAAACACGCTAATTTCTTATGCCTAAATGCACTTTGTAGTGCATAAATCTTTGCCAGCCAGGTAAATATACTGCTGGACTAAATGGCTACATCAGGGATGGGCACATCCAACAGCCGGCAAATCACAATTTTCATGACAAGCACACACACCTTCAATGCTCCGTGTGCTCCACGCTTTTTACGAAATGGGGAACTCATGACCCTCTTCTGCCAAACGCGACCCTCTTCTGCCAAACGCGACCCTCTTCTGCCAAACGCGACCCTCTTCTGCCAAACGCGACACCTCTTGGCAGTAATCAACTCCACTTAATAAAATGCACATGTCTAGCTCCCAGAAAAAAAGGGACATAACTGAATTCATGAATATGCAACGAGCACACGGAGGTCTTGCGTGCCCGGAGACACAAAACTAACGAGAAACGAGGTCGTGAATAAAACTTGAGCAGTTTTATGCCCGGGAAATGCGACACAAAAAAGATGCAACTTCAGTTCCAAAGCAAATTACCCTTTTCAAGAAAATCGACTTGCATTTGCACCCTAACCAGGTACTCAGTTGTCAAACAAAATCGTGTT